GTTTAAATTTTGCTATTGTTTTCATCAGAAATCTTCTATAAATTTTTGTTGCAATCAATAGAATTAATATACTCAAATTTTTACAAATTCGTTTTATATAATTAACATAATTTTATGTTATTGTATGTTCATTAATTATTAATATATTGTATATGTGGAGAGATACCCAACAAGGTGAAATCAATTCCAATCAAAGATAATTGTACTAACAAGATGAATATTTTAATTTGTAATTTTTTATTTTATTTTTGTGACAATATTTTTTTATTTTTTTTTGCAATACATTAGTTTATTAATGGTTTATAAAAATATATTTTTGTAAGAAAATTATAAATAATGTATTAATAAAAGTTATGAAATATTTATAAGGGGTATTCAATTTAGAGTTTTAATGACTTTTGTAGACTTTTTAATATGAAAAAGTTTTTAAAAATCTATAAAAGTTTGTCCTATGGATTTTTAAAGACTCTTACAAAATTGATGAAAGATTAAAAGATTCTATGAAAGTCTACAAAATCTCTACAAAAGTCATTTAAAATCCATCATTTTAAAAGTCTTTGAAACTCTTTAAAAGTCTTGATTGAATACACCCCCTTACATGCCCATCATTGATTTCAAGCATTTTAATTGCAGATCAACTCAATAATGAACAATCTCTAAAAATATCAAAAAAAACCTTATCACAATCCATATATAGATCTATGTCATATGCATTTCGTTGATTTGATTAACCAAAAAGCAAAGATTAAAAATAGAAAGGGAGATGAAGGAGTGCTTGTAACTCAAAAAAGAAAAGAAAGAGAGAGAGAGAGAGAGGGAAGATGAATAAAAGACCTGGAGATTGAAAATGAGTAAAATAAAAGAATGAAGATGTAAATATGAAGGTAAACGCATAGTACTCCGTGAAGATTGTACATTTGATTTGAGAACACAACATTTACTGCACACTAATTAAATTTGGAGTACCTACTGGAAAATTTTAAAGGGCAAAGTGAGAAACACAAAAATGTAATGATGTTTATTTTTAGAAAGTGGACAATATTTTAGGATGTACTAAAAAGGAAAGTAAGACAGATAAAATGGGAAGGAGAGAGTAACTAATATAGTAATAAGTCATAATGTTAGTAAATATGCACCAACAATGTTAGTAAATATACAATACAAATGTGCACTATTAGGTACGCATCACAAAAAAAAAAACGTATCATTAGATATGCATAAAATCACCACACAATGTTCAGAAATGCACAATTAGGTATGGAGAGTTATGGTGCATTATTTTGGGTGTGTTGTGTGCTTTTGGTGTATTTATGCATTTCATTGTTGTGGATTTTCCTAACATTATTGGTGCCTTTTGTTAACACTATTGATGTATTTTTCAAGCGGCCGCACCAATCGCACGGGAAGGCACAAATGCATTTGAGCAAACTTATATAGTATTAATACTTCCAAATAATGCGACCGCTCCTTCCTCATTTCCTCTCTCGTCCCATCAACATAAATTCGAATATATTTGAAATAAAATATACACATTTTCTCTTAACATATTTACAAAAAAGTGGAAGTGATGCAAAGATTTGATTTTTATAATTTTATGCAAAAAAGAGGAAAAATGACATTTGTTCGGTATAAATACTTAATTTGTAGCCAAACATCTTGTTCTCATATGGCATCTTTGTGACTCCCATCAGTGGCGGAGCCACCCCCACTGCCCCCCCCCCCCCCCTTCAACTGTTGCTATTAATATATAAGTACATGTATAAATTATTAAAGTGTTTAGTAGTTCAGTGGGTTGAAATTTGAATATGACATGGAGTGATACAGGTTCAGATCCTACCTATAGCATTTTATTATATTTTAGATTCTTATATTTATTTTAGCTCTTCTCGCCCTTCAATAAATTAAATGTATTTTTTAATTCTACTTTTTTTGCGTGTATATTTTAGCTTCTATCGATTATACTTTATATTTTGTCATAAATATTTTTATAACATTTTAAAGTGTTTTAAAATTTCACCCTATCCAAATATAGTTTTGGCTCCGCCCTTAACTATCTTGTAGTCTATCATAAATATTGTATTATAATTTATAATGTATTTGAACCATATTATAGATGTTTGATATTTTGTCATTGACAATTCTAAAGTCCTAGCAAATTCTTCAGACAAAATTGTGAAAGATGTAATTTTTTCTTAAAAGTGATATCTCGAGTTAAGTACGCCCCCACTCACATTATTTTCTGGATCCGCCACTGACTCCCATTGAAGGAAGGTCACACGATCGAACTCTGTGGTGGTGGAGAATTGACTCTTTAAACTACGACAAATAGAAAAAGTATAGAACATATACTACATTGTAATAGAGTCAACAGTAGTAAAAAAAAAATATATTTAATTTGTAGAAATATTGTTGAGGGATCACCATGAGATTTGCTTTATACTCCATATTAAAGAGGGCTGTAACGGTTCCCAACAAAGTTGCTTTGATCCCTTGAAAGCACATACTCCCAAGTCCTATATATGCTGTCACTTCTACCAAAAAAATATATGCTGTCACTGTAGTGTTCATCTGGGAGATTGAAACTTTGCTCCCTCCCTCCTGAAATTACTAAAACTCACCCCACCCCACCCCACCCCTCCCTTCATTTTTCTTGATTCTGTATCCAATATAATCTCTCTCAGCAGTCAGCTCAATCAGGCTTCTTGGCTGCCGGCAACCAAGTTCGATCTTCTCCCCGATTTGCTTCATCATTGCTTTAATTTGCAGAGGTTGAACAAGAACTGGCCTGGGTGGGTTTGACAGAGATATACATATATATATGGGGTTTCTCCTGCTGCATGCATTCTGTTCTTGTCAGGCAGTTTGTGCGGTGCTGATGAAGATCGATCGACAACCATCGGCATCAGGGGCTAAGCAGTGAACCAATTTCCCACATCGAATTCATACGGCAAGTATTTTCTCTTAATAAGCTCCTAGCTGGAATAGTTGTTCGCTGGGCTTGGTAGCGCAAGCCTGTAACCCGAGCGGGAGCATTAAGATGGTGGAACAATTGGGCTTGCTCTGATGGCTGGGCTTTGGGGTGCTATCTCCTGGCCTGCCCGTTCCAAGTGGTGAGATGGGCCGTGTAGTCTCCGCTAAAGTGGAGGCGTCTCGGCCCTTAGATTGGAGGGCACCGCGTGAGGCTGGCTTCACAAAGCAGCGAAAACCTCCTTCTCTCTGCAGTGGAGGGATAACAGGCCGGTGCAACCTTGGTCCACTATAGCCTGATGCGCTGCCCAACTTGAACCACCATCTTTTTTTTTAGAGCTTCGTTTATCGGGTTTCAATTCATTTTTTTATACAGATTGAATTTGGCAAAGCCTCACTTAAGTTTATTCACCTTCTCTGATCTTATGGGGTGTTTATGAGTTGCTGATGTACTTTACCTGCCCTTATTAGTTATTAGAGGTGCTTTGTCCAATTTGTTTGTGTAATTCATAAGTTTACAAGTAAATGAGATTTAACACATTTATTTATCTATGTTTCATTGAAAAATGCATTGGTCTGTAAAAGACAGTGATGTATATATATCTCAAAATTTATTATTTTGGTTGTTGGTGATTCACTATTAATTGTATGCTTTGGTAATTTGGTTCATTTTAGTTGCTGAACTTTATTTTGTATTTTTAAAAATTTATATACAGTTTCAATTTGGGTGGAGTTCAGCCTGCTAGTTTGAAGTCCGTAGTTATTCAAGATTAGTTAGAAAATCATCTTAACTAGATATTTACATAGTCCATCTATACAAAATTTGTGAAAATGAAAATTTTCAATTTCTACCATCCTCATTTATGTATTTGCTGTGAATCAGAGCCTTATTATTTTTCTTAATCCTGTTAGCAGCTAGGCCCCTCAATTAGATCAATGAATATTGGGAGGGCAAGAGCAATTGTAAGGGTCAAAAACATATTTCAATGTAGATTATTATGTTCGGTACACGCATGACATTGGAGTATTTTGGTATGGAAAATCAATATATATGTGATAAAGTAATGGAAAAACTGCAAAATTTGCCTTGGTTTCTCTTCTAGCTACCTGCTCTCTGTTAGTTGTGAACTTTTAGAAAAATATGTACTGCATTTTTTCTAGTTTTTATTCATTGCCCCCCTATTAAGAGGAAATTCAGAACTATTTTCTCATCATTATTCCTATAATTAATAATCATTTGCATCTGTATGGTCTCAGTCGATGGTGTAGCTTCTTATATTGTCTTTCAGCTTTGTAAATTCATGTATGTATGCATCTCTTTCTATCTGTAGTTTGATTAGTGCAAATTAATGTTGATTGTAATTTTGCAAGGGATCGGAGAACCCTTTCTGGTGTTTGTGAAACTTTGATCCAGAGGAGAGCGGGCCTCTAAGAGTTTGCCTGCTTAATAACTTTCTCATAATCTTGTCTTGCCCTATACGTTAAACTTAGCCAGAAAATGTGTCTAGATCATTTCCGTTCCAACTTTTGAAAGTTCCATATGCTCTTATATACAAATACTAGTTCCATATGAGAGCTACCTTCTTACCATTCAATTCGATGATGTTTTCACTGTCTTACGTACATCTGCAAATTCTTGACTTCTCCTTTTGCCTCATTCTGGAATTTTTGCTTTCAGATATTGGATTTCAAGGGGGCAAGTCAAAATCATTATATTGCAGAGAATTGAAGGTCACCTAGGCATTACCCTTGTAGTTAGAAACAGCCAAGAGATGGTAGGGGAGGTGGATTGACTGGTAGGATTATGTTTACTTTGATGCTTATTAATTGTGATGATTATGGATTACTTGATCATGATAGGTATATACACTTCACATCTATGATTGACTCTATTACAATGCAGTATCTATTCGTAACTACTTTCTCAACTTACTGAAGCACAAAGAGTCAGTATCGCCTCCACTGAGGCTCGAAACCACAACCTCCCATATGGGAGTGCAACTTGGTGCCACTAGAGAGATGCTATTTGCTGCTATTCTATCTATTTGTGCATCAAGTTCAAAGAAAATCTTAATTTATAATGAAGAAATGATAGTAGCGAGTTATTTATAGGCTTTATCATATTCAGTCGGAAGAGTTTTGGTAATACTTTAAAAATGACTCTCGACGGGAGAATCCAGGCTATTCAGGAATAATCGCAGCAATTCCCCAATTCTAACGAAGTAGTTCCTTCGAAATCCAATGAAGAACAATGATTACTTAGGAACAACTTGCGAATTTGTGGCACCGTAGTAGAATCATTACCAATGGCACACTGTGTGCCTAAGTGCGAAAAGACAGTGCAAGCTCTGTTATGCCGAAACCTAAATGTTAAGTCAGCAACACTTTCAAATTCCACTTCTTCCCATCGCATCCGTCTTCAAGACGATATAGCCAGAACGTTTCACATCTTAGTGGGGAAAAGATTTAGCCCCTGGTGTATCTTGAATGCAGAAAGAGTAGAACTCATTTGAGAGAGCTTGGTGGTCTTAAGAATGGTTCGGGTGGAGGGGTGGAGGATTTTCTAAAATAAAGTGAAAATACCATGGAAGATTCTCTTTTTAATGTTTGGTATGGATATGGTAAGTTTATTGTTGGTTTTTATTCCTCACTCTTGTATAGGTGAACTTGGTTCGTTAAATTCTAAGGGCTAAGAAGGATCCAATGGAAAGACTGGAGAAGTATCTTCATTAGCCGGAAGGAATTAGTCTCCACTAGTGTCATTCGAAGAACGAACAAGAAAAGGGTGACTGTTTAGGTAGGATCGATGGATGTGGTCCAATGGCTAAAGCTCCGTCAGCTACTTGTAGACTGGACTCTCTTCACTTTAGGCTCGAGTTGTTTTTGGATGGGATGGTTTAATTTTTCTTCGTCACTAGTGGCAACGAAGTTCTTGGTAATTAGCAAGGGGGAAGGAAGATCTCCACTCATTTCATTCATTCAGTGCCTGCGGTGAGGCGCGACCCACAACAAACGAAGGGGGAAAGCTTGCTTTGCTTGCTGTAGCCCTATTTTAGTATATTAGGCTTGGTAAGCGTAAACTATATTTAAGTAGGCTCGCAGCTTCGCTCAGCAGAAGAGTCTTACTTTTTATTATATTAGTAAAGCGTTAGCGCCCAACCTACGGGCTTTTAAGGGATTGGGGAAGGGAAGAAAACAAAGAGGGTCACTCCTTTTATTTAGGAACATGGCTCGTTCATTCACTTGCTCATGAACTCGTAGCTCCGCCAGAAGTGACGAACCCTTGACCCTAGCCGACGACTACATGAGGGGGAAGCTATCTTAGAAGCTTTACCCCTTGCTTTACAGAGATACTTGTTATGAACTTACTAAATGACTAGATTCTCCCGGAACGTTAGCTAAGCTAATAGTTTTAGTTCCTTCAATTCAATCAATAAGCTTTTTATTGATCCAGGGTGCCACCCCCTTTCTTAGAATTAGAACCCATTGAGGGGGGCTTCGGCCTGGGAAGGGGAGAGTGGCCGAGTGGTCAAAAGCGGCAGCCTGTAAATCTGTTGAAGTTTTTCTACATAGGTCCGAATCCTGCCTCTCCCACTTGTTTGTTGTAGACTTCAGATAAGTGAAAAGAGGCATTCATCAGCATAGGAAAAGATCCTGATTTTGGCACTAAAACAATATTTGTGAATGAAAATTAGTACTAAAAAATGGTCGTGAATTAAAATTGGTAAGAATTAAACATATGGACCAAAACTATCATTATTTTTGCTAATATTCATGAGACCAAAGTTGATATTTTCTCTATATAAAATTGAATTAAAAATAACTTCAAGTCAAACCTCGGTAATTGAATCAACACCTAAAATGGAAGAAAGAGTATAAAATTAGTCCTTACAAAAATTATCATTCTCTATCTCCCTCCCTCCTTAAATTACTAAAAACTCACCACACCCAACCCCGCCCTTACTTTTTTTTTTTTTTGATTCTGTATCCAAGCTCTATATCTCTGCTCAATCACACTTCACTCTCTGCATTTAATTATTACTTCCCCACCACTACCACTGTTCCTTTAATTTAGCAGTTTAGCTTCTTGGCTGCCGGCAACCAAGTTCGATCTTCTCCCATATTTGCTTTAATTTGCAGAGGTTGAAGAAGAACTGGGCGGGTTTGAGATATATATATATATATATATATATATGGGGTTTCTCCTGCTGCATGCATTCTGTTCTTGGCAGGCAGTTTCTGTGGTGCTGATGAAGATCGATCGATAACCATCGGCATCGGGGGCTGGCTAAGCAGTGAATGAATTTCCCACATCGAATTCATACGGCAAGTATTTTCTCTTAATAAGCTCCTAGCTGGGACGGTTGTTTGTTGGGCTTGGTAGCGCAAGCCTGTAACCCAAGCGGGAGCATTAAGATGGTGGAACAATTGGGCTTGCTCTGATGGCTGGGCTTGGGGTGCTATCTTCCTCCCTGCCCGTTCCAAGTGGTGAGATGGGCCGTGGAGTCTTTGCTAAAGTTGAGGTGTCTCGGCCCTTAGATTGGAGGGCACCGCGTCAGGCTGGCTTCACAGAGCAGCGAAAACCTCCTTCTCTCTGCAGTGGAAGGATAACAGGCCGGTGCAACCTTGGTCCACTATAGCTTGATGGGCCGCCCAACTTGAACCACCATCTTTTTTTTTTAGAGCTTAGTTTATCGGGTTTCAATTATTTGGCAAAGCCTCACTTATATTTATTCACCTTCTCTGATCTTATGGGGGGTTTATGTGAATGTACTTTACCTGCCCTTGTTACAGGTGCTTTGTCCAATTTGTTTGTGTGATTCATAAATTTACAAGTAAATGAGATTTATTAACACATTTATTTATGTTTCATTGAAAAATGCATTGGTGTCTGTAAAAGACAGTGATGTATATATCTCAAAATTATTATTTTGGCTGTTGGTGATTCACGATTAATTGTATGCTTTGGTAATTTGGTTCATTTTAGTTGCTGAACTTTATTTTGTATTTTTTTTATATACCGATTGAATTTGGAGAATGATTTTGATTTTAGAATTGCAGAGAACCATTGTGGAGTTCAGCCTAGTTTGAAGTATGTAGTTATTCAAGATTAGTTAGAAAATCATATAGATATTTACATGGTCCTATACAAAAATTGTGAAAATGAAAATTTTCAATATCTACCATTCTCATTCATGAGAGGCTTATTATTTTTCTTAAACCTGTTAGCAGCTAGGTCCCTCAATTAGATGAATGAAGATTTGGTGGGGAGGGCAAGAGCAATTGTAAGGGTCAAAAACATATTGCAATGTAGATTATTATGTTGCATATATGCATTTATGATATAGTACTCTTAGTTTAGGTTTTAGTATCAAAGTATAAAATGCAGCATACAACTGAGCACAAGGAGTAGAAAGTAGCCGATGTTTTCCATTATTTGTAGTTTGTTGAATTGAGAGCACTTACTTTGTGCTAGCTAGCTTCTATATAAAGGATTTACTAACGTAGCTGAGCAGAGTTTAATCACTTTCATCCATCTTTTCTCTGTGTAATATTATTTTCTTCATTCTCATATAATAAAACCTCTTTAATTTGCATTTTCTTCTTCATTATGCTGAAATATTCAGTGACCTATCCTGAGTTCTCTCCATTCCCATTCCAGCCTGAATATGGAGCTTGGAGGAGATGCAACGTGCAGGCTATTAAAATCAGTGAGTCCTTCTATTGCTCAGAGTGTTATAAGCGAAGGACATATGGGAGGACCTAAGAAAGAGGTTCTCTCAAGCTAATGCGATTTTTGGTTTTCGATCTTATGCCAGATGTCTATATAAAGTGTTTGGAATGGCACTCAAACTAGGAAGACAAATCAATGGCACAAATATTGGATGTAGTGGGAATGATATAATAATGCAAGCTAATGCCAGTCAAGGTAGCCGGCTTCACAGAACAAATGAATGAAGTAGTTGTGGCTGTTGTTTCTGGTTCAAATTTTACCAGAACTTTCAATTACAAAAAAAAGGTTCAACACTAACAGTGGAAACAAGTCTGCAGCAAAATTCACATTTTGTGGAATAAACGGTCATACCATACACAAATGTTAGGTGTTCCATCTGCCTCTCCACTTGGTCATGACAGTTCGTTGCCTGTAGCCCAAAATTCAGCAGCAGAGAATGGCCGGTTTGCCAGATGAAACTCAAAATGAATCTCATAATATTCAGCCTAGAAGATCTACAAGACAAAAGTATATTCTTGTCAGATTACTACTGTGATATTGCTTATGCAGTGTAGCAATTGAGTTAATTCATTGATGCTCCTACTGAAAAGCATCTAGCAGTGGCTCATAGAGTGTTGAGGTATTTGAAAGGTGCACCAGGAAAAGGCATCTTTTATCCCTCAAGTTCAGAACTACATTTGCAAGCATACAACTAGCACAAGGAGTAGAAGGTCTTCTCCATTATTTGTAGTTTGTTGAGAGCAATTACTTTGTGGTAGCTTGTATATAAACGTTGTATGTAGTTGAGCAGAGTTTAATCACTTTCATCTTTTCTCTGTGTAATATTTTCTTCATTCTCAATGTATTAAAAGCTCTCTGCATTTTCTTCTTCTTCTTCTTCTTCAAAAAAAAAAAACTACTCATTTTACTTTTTTTTTTTTTTTTTTTTTTTTTTTTTTTTTTAATTATATTAGTTTTTGTTTTCCTATTTGTCTCTTAGAATAAGCAAGATTTATATTTCTTTTATTAATCTAGAACATAATGAGTTGGTTTTGTCCATTATAAGCATCCTTGTTATTGTTATGTTTTTTAATTTATTACGGAGTAATATATTAGAGCAACCCCAATAAGGGGTTGTGCATAGGTAGTAAGGGTGGGCACTTCGGTTCGGTTTATCCGAATCGAAACCGAACGGTTTGGCAAAACCGAACCGAATGCTATATAATTTTTTTAATAAATAATAATAATAATAATAATAATAAAAAAAGAAGTAAATTCAAGTTCCTTGATGCTTGCTCCACCGTTCAGTTCTCATTCTTACGGGTACCGAACCTTAAATTTTTTATTTGATTTCTTTATAGCTTGTTTTCTACATTGCACTTTTGTTGTTTGTCGCAATTGTTCTTTACCTCACAATTATATCTAACTTGAGTTATATTTACAATATTCAGTATTTTCCTTAGTTTCA